TCTCAACAGCCAACGCAACATGACACAACTCGATGGGAGCACCCGTTTCTGCAGCTGCCCGTCTGCTCTGTCACCACCCAGACACAGACTGATTGTGAGAAATCAGCCAGTATGTGTGTTTTAGTATTATTCATTTGTTAAAATGATATGCGTTACATAAACACAATTGACAACGCTTCAATTACAATTCTGTATGTATAGTAGAAAAAGGAAAATAATGTACTATCGATAAATGGTTTTATTTTGCACCCACTCATGCATTTAATTATTCTGGGCTTGCCACCACTGCTGGTTGCCAAAGCTCTGGTTCACGTAGCTCAAGTACAGCTGCATCTGATTGACCGATCCTAGCCGCTTCTTTGAAAAGAATCCTGCTGTATTTGCCGGAGTAAACGGTTCTACATCCTCTCCCTCCTCGTCTTCCTCCTCCTCTGCATTTGTCGACTGCTGGCCCTCTAACACAGCATTAAACCACCCACTCCCTCTCACCATTCTCCATAAGAGATGCAGCGCTGCTAACCACCCACAGTCCTCTCTGAAATACCTGCTACAAATATGTGTGAAATGCATGGTGTTTGGACTTTTTCCTCCGAATATTGTCTCGATACAGTGCCCTCACAATCGGCCTTCACTGCGGTGCAGATGCCTGTACCGTAGCATTCATTTGAACTTCTTGAAAGCATACCAGTGGAGTGAGGTGTGTCTGAGAATGCCTGGAGGACTGTTGGCCCTGTAACAGAGATGTCAGATATCCACCATATGGTTTAGTCTGATTTTATAGAGCTATATGTTTATCTACAGTACAGGCACGGGTTAGGGTTGGTATTATAAGTGAGGCTATAAGGTAAATACCACATGGGATTGTACTGGCTTAATGTTGTCTCGATATTGGGGTGTAATTATAGGGCCGTGAGGACTCTGGAACTGTGATGATTGTAATCTTGTCCATGACCAATCTGTCAGCTCTAGTTCCTGGCCTGATTGCAATGTATATCTGTGTTTGTATAACTATTGTGGACTTGGGGATAGAGAGAGAGGGCGAGCGAGAGAGAGGGCGAGAGAGAGGTTTGATATTCCTCTTTAGCAAGACTGAAGGTGACTCCATCCGTCTGGCACCTGAGGACATTTCCCCTGCAGCTGGTTTCTTGGGCATGCTCACTGGTATCAAAAATGTGTGTTTACCTCTGTTGTCTGATGTTGCTATGGAAAGATTCATTGCATAATTGCTGTTATCGGTAATGAGCAGAGGATGTTGGACCCTGAAGAGACCTGATTCCAGTCCATGTCCGTGAGTCAGAATGAAGCGGTGCCAGTTCATCAGCTTTCCTTTTGGTTTCCATGTCGTCAGTGATCAAAGTCTAAATGCCTTTGGATGCGGCATGACGAACTTGAGGATCCTGCCGGGACACATCCAAGAGTAATGTAACCTAATGAGCGAAGTTGTAGCTTTTGAATTTGTCACAACCAACGTTGGCAGACAAACTGGCACCTAATACCAAATAACAGATGTTTCTGATCAACTTACAGGTGTTTATAACTACCTTGGGCATTGAGCAATACACGGTGTATTTGGATACTGATACGATATTAATGAGAAAATGAGGCGAATGTAATTTAAAAACAAAAAAGATGAAATATTTGACTCGGCTCACATGATGAAATGCCATTTCATTCCCTCATGCTCCTCTCAACTGAGTCACTTTAGCTGCACTTTTACTTTCCATGACTAAGAAATGAGTCTGTCAAACCCAAAAATGTTGATGGCAGAGGAAGAGAATTTGCTTCTCAACCAAAATTGAGAGTAGATAATCAGCCAGCTGCCAAAAGAAGCAAATATTTCTCCCGCTGTGTCATAAGGGAGAATGGGATGTTTTGCTAAGCTGCGGAATGGCTAAGAGTGGAGGAAGCCAGGAGCGCTAAGGCATGCTAATTACCATCTCCTAAACAGAGTTGTTTCCTAATGAACACTGTCGTAATGAGACACACCATCTGGACAGAGATCACAAGACATATGAATACTATATGGAGAGGAGAGTTGGTACGAAACTATGCAGTGGATCAGTTGTAGTTGCTGAGTGGGTAAACTGGGAATACAGTAGTGTCTCCGTTCACTTGCATTGCATTGAAAAAGAGATTTCATTTTTTTTTATTTGACCACTTAAAAAAATATGAATTATGCTTTTAGATGTGAAGCAAGTTTTCCAATTAATAAATTAAATACTCGTATGTAGATGATGCAAAAATTGAGAATATTTTGATTTGATGTTTGCACAGTTCTGGTGAAGACTAGTGCTGATGTAAAATGTCTTCCTGCCCCTCCACTCATCAATGACTGGCCCAGAGAAACCAAATCTCTGTTTGATTTGTCTCCCTTGAGACTCCATGTCTCCCATCCAGACAGCATTCATATTATTGTCTGAACAACTTCAGCGACTAGAATAAGTTTATGATGGTTTCATAATTTCCTTGCTCTGATCACAAAAGGACATTTGTTTGGGCCTCTTGTCTCTCGGTCATTTCCTTGTTGAGAGTTAACGGGAGGAGTGGCTCTGTGGACTGTGGCGGCTGACAATCCCACATTGTGTGAACTGCTGCAGCCTCACAAAGGGCCCATTGTGGAGAGCGGTGGCCCGGCAAGAGGGGACTGGGTCTAGGCTAGGTGACAGAGAGGTGTGGGTTCCAGGGCCCTGGGTCCGGGGGCTAGGGCCGTGTATTGGTGCTCGGCTGACACTGTGTTTGGGGCAGGGAGGCTGCACACGTGTGAGAGGAGTCCCGTGCTGCTTTTATACATACTGTACTCTGACAAAACCACCCACTTTCTGTAAGCTCTCAAATCTCACTCGCAGGTGAGCAGCTTTGTGAAAATAGGTTTTTAATCAGAGCTGTCAATCTCTGATTTATTTTCAGTGTCCTAGAGAATCTGATGCTGAGATTATAAAACGGTGGGCTTAAGCTGCTTGTACAACTGTTCCCAGAATTTGAAATATTTTGCCATTTATCCTCCTCTGACTCCAGCTCAAGGACAAGCCCCCATGTGTGGTGTACTGTAGATTTGTTTACTCAGACAGATGGCCGAGCAGTTCAAAGTCAGAGTACACCAAACCCTTCTTTTTCTGCTGCGCTGCTGTTCTCCTTGACCACCACTTTGAGACTTGATCTCCCCTTCCTCACCCAAACCTCCTTCCTCTCCACATGTCTGAGAGTGACAGGGCTCTCAGGTCAAGCTGACGCCGGTCTCTCTGTCCAGTCTGAAGCAAGCCTAGGCCCTCGCCCAGCTGTCCCAACGTCTATGTGTCCGTCTGTCTGTCAAGCCCGGCTGTTGCCCTGGCCTCTCACCTTAGTGTCAAGAGCCCTCTGTGATTTAACAGCCATGGCTGAAAAAAAAAAAACGGTTACTTGCTGCCTCCGGTTTTTCTCTTACTTAGTTCAACCAAACTACTATGTTCCAATTTGTTGTGCCAGATTTTGACTGTGCTGTCTGCTACAATATAGACAGTGGTGAGAGAGTCAAGAATGAAAGTGACGTTTAACAGCGATGAAGTAAACAGGGCCTCTCATCTACCCTCTGGGTTGGATTACCACAACCCTTTCACTGTTGACTTCTCTGTCCACATTAGAGGCTTCCAATGCTCCGTTGCTGACAGGCTATGTTATGCTGCACAAATTGGGTCCTTGAGATAGATTTATTAAGGCAATAGCAAACATTGAACAGGATGCCTTTTTAATTTGGTTTCCATCTCTATCTCCTAATATATTCTGATTTTCAAGGGCTGTAATTTATCATCTGTGGCTACTTGGTGCTGGAAACCACTGTGGGCATTTTTGGTGTCTATAATTCTGCCTGTATGTTTAGTGCAGTGAAGGTAGGGCCCAAGAGCAGTTCAAACAGCCACCCATGCCCAGTGTGCTTAGTCATGCAGTACTCATTTACTTTACATTGAACAAATATAAATCCCTCGGTTAACTAGTGCGGCTTCTCCCGTTGCTGGCACGAGTCATTTGGAGATCAGACAAAGCAGAAGTCAGTTTTCTGATCTAGTGATATTCGGGATATGTGTGCAAATATCTACTTTCTGTAAGTACTGTAAGTCAATTTAAGAATGCATCTGCACAAGTACTTTGTATGTAGAAAAGCATCATTTCCAAAAACTGCATGACTAGGCATGACGGGTTAGTTTGGAGTGATGCATTGCAATGGCCTATGAATAGATTATTTTATGTGTTCCAAGTTGAGGTAGCACGCCTCCGTTCGTTGTAAATGAGGCGTGCCGACATACAAAGCCACTGCATGCTTGCATAAACCCGGATGTGAAAACCTTGGGTCACCGTACACAAAGTAGTGTTATTGTGGAAGCCTTGTGGTCACGTTATTTATAACTGACAGATGGCATCCATGTCAGTGTGCATAGTTGGGTTTAGGCATCAGACAGATTAAACTCCAAACCGCTCAGTCTTTTTTTTGTATGCACCTGATTCTAGATGGCAACTCATTCTAGCTCGATCAGATTTCTTTGAACAGCTACTACAAATGCGTCATTATTACTGTGGTGATTCTGGACTTAAGCCTAGACTAAGTGACGACTGTTAACAATAATGTCACGCCGAGGCCATTAATGTTGTGAACGACTACCTAATTTCCCTGTCTGAAATCCCAGTGATTATTGCCAGAGCGATACTTTCCTTTTACAAATGGAGCTAGTGCAGTAAAAAAAAAAAAAAAAAAAACTGCATTTATGATGCAATTACGTAATTATCCTCTTTTTAAATGCTGCGTTCCATCTCGCAAGAAACAAATATATCACATGGAACCCTAACAAGAACATTTTCTTGTGCACAGACTGTGATTATATCAGTGTGTGTGGTTTGCCAGGCTTGGCAGGAAAAATCATTGCTGGGGTGGATCGTGTGAGAAGACGGGACCATGTGGAGGGATATGTGGGCTCGTCTGTTAACGCCACCACGTAACACTCTTATCTATGTGTCTCTGTTGTGTCCTACAGCCCAGCACTCTACCTCAGGGTACAATCAATATGAACCAGTGCTCCGACGTCATCGATGGAGAGTCCAGGACGGGTCAGAAGAACTCTCTTTGCATCCTGACCCCCGACAAAGAGCACTTCATACGGGCTGAGTGTAAAGAAATTATCAACGGGTAAGACGTAATAACCAGGAATGTGATCTGTTAATGTAGGAATTACAAATCTGCTATTATATCTTCATATAGATATGATGTAGAATAATTGCCTCGGATGGGCAATATGGTTTTTGTTGCTCTCTATATTGGTTTGAATGAATAGGGATGACAGAGACTTGGACAAGGGAGAATAGTTGTGAGCAGCTGCTTTTGCTGCTAAAACTGCTCTGCCCTCTGCTGTTTCCTTTGGGTTGTGCTTTTTTCAGAGCCTCGCAATCCCCACTGCAGTGACGGTGCACATTCTTGGACGGTTCCCTCTCCCTGCCTCTCTTGGCTTCTACCTGTGTTCACAAACCCCCCCCCCCCCCCCCCATACGCCGGGACACAGATCACAACACACTGACGCAGTACAGAAACATATGGAATTCGATTTTTAGTCATTTCCAGGTCTGGAGAAATATGGAAAAAGAAAAGAGAGAATGGAAAATATTTGTGTTCGCTTATCCTGTTGTCTGAGATATGAAATCCTGAATTTCTAAATATAAATTGATCATACAAGCGGGCATTTTTTCATGGTATTTGGAGCAGACAGCCAGCCAACGCAGCCCAAATGTTTGTCAGTGTGTGACAGAGCGCGGGCCAGAAGGAGCTTGATGTCTTCGACAGCAAGGCTGGCGTGCAACTGAACACACTCTCCTACGCAGAGCGGCCTTTGCGCCTGTACGTCACAGCCTGCAAAAACAGCTCTGCCCCAAGTGCAAGATGTTTGACAGTGAGCTGTTGTCCAACTGTCTGCGTAGGACTCTGGACTGAACGGCCACAATGGATAACTGCACTGAGGGCTGGGTTGACAATCCCAGATATAAAGCCTCCAAATTCCAAATGGGAAAAGAAAGCTTGATATGCAAAGTTTGTCTTCGACATCTCCAACATGGGGGTAGCTGCAACTGTAGGCCATATAAAATGCCAAAAGCATGGCACCAATCGTTTATTTACATAAAAAACATCCAGCCATTTGTGCTCGGATGTCAAATGTGGTCTGAAAAATCTGCCAAGAAATTTGAGTCTTTTGAAATGGATAATATGGAGGAGCCGTCTCATGCTCCTCTCCCCCACTGCTGCACATTTAGTGTGTTTCTGCACTGCACTCTCTCCCCCTGACTGTAGAATACATATTATGGCTGTTCTTGGGGAACTGTGACTCACAACACCTACTCTCCGTTATGCTACCTGCTCGATCGCTGCACACCTCCCACTCTCCCACCATCTGGCTCCCATGTGCTGGTTGTGGGTCACCACACCGTCATGTTAGCCCTCGCAAATGTTGCCAATAACTGATGGTGTTGTAACAAAATATATTCTTTTTGATGTCTTTCCTGGTTATGTTAAGCTTTTATTAATTATGCTACAGTATAATAACAGGGCTGTGTGGACACTCGTTGATTTATTATGACAGTTTGTAGTGTGACAATCCACAAGAAAGGTTTTAAACTCTTTACAAAATGGGCGTAGGAGAAAAATATTTGATAATGCAGGAGTGTTGTGTACCACAGTCACTGACTTGATTACTCTCATTTTAAAAGAGCCAGTGGTTTCTGTATTGCATGAAGTTCTATATTTAAAAATTACATGAAAGAATGTGGTGATCATGACGGCTATTTTCAGATTATATTAGTTAGTCTTGAGATCAATCAGTCCAGGTGTGTTTTAGTTATATTTTGTCCACTTACTCATTCAAATTTTTAGTCAAACTTAAGTTTTTAGTAGACTAAGACTTTAGATACTTTGTCTTAAACCGTGAACATTTTAGTCTAGTTTTAGTTATGACCAAGAATGGGCATTATTCTGGGCTAGAATGAATCCAGATGATTTTAATTGAAGATGCACATGCATACATATTACCTTGTGTGGCAGTAGAATGATGGTGCTACAGCAGAGTAAGATGGCACAGAGGCAATACAAAGCTGAAAACTGTGGGAGTATTATTTGTGCTGTGTAGTATATAATGTATTCATGCTTTTTTAGCACAACACTTAACTAAATCCACATTGGCTAATTTGATAATCGTATCCTTGTGAATTGCCTTTTTAGTAACACACAGAGCAAAAAAAGCAAACGTTAATGATCAAAGATGATTAAATGTTACCGTACCAGGCCCAGGGGATTAGACCGTCTTTCGCTGCACTAGCTCACTGTTGAGAGTATAGAGGGTGTTAAAGTTATGGTACATTGTATCGGTTTGTGGTGTTGGGTCATGCACATGCTTTACCTGATAAGTGTAATGACTCATGTTTTGCTACAGCGGACTTTGTCCTTCATATATTGATCCCCACACAGGTCCAGGGTATTTACAATCTGCATGTAGTTTCCCAAGAACAGCTCTTTGACTGTCTCACTACTCGTAGGTGGCAGGAGGCTCTGACTGTATACCCGCGGACCAACAAGCAGAACCAGAAGAAAAAACGCAAGGTCGATCCACCCACTCAGCAGGTAATGCACCTATTCACACACTCCATAGCAAAGTGCTTTTACTTTGCTCATTCTGATGAAGGTACGAGTCGTAAGCAACTAAATTCAGGTGTGAAATTTCTGCTTTGGATTTCTTGTTTCCGTTTTGTATCGATGGGCTCCTGAATGCAGCGTAATCCTGGCAAACTTCAACCAGAGGACACCCGTAAAGCAGAGAATAAGGATGCCGTTACAACTTTAGTGAGAATACAGATGAGCAGTATTTTGTGATTATTAGGTTTAGATGATTTAAAGAATTTAGTCATATTGTTACCTAGTGCAGCAACAATTCTGATGCATATTTAGTTTGGTGCATCTGTGCTTGTTTGACATCGTCTGCCTTATAACTGAAGTATATCCAAATGACAGATAATGAGTGTCTCCTAGTATGATTTCAGGCAAACTTTTAAGATGGATATGACTTCATATCGACACTGTTTGAGATAAGTTGAGCATTTATAAGTGATCCCCACGTGGCAATTGTTCCATTGCTACAGCAAAGAAAGAACATACATATATTATTAGGGCAACATGTGCTGTGGAAGTATGCAGTATGGAGGCTTTTCATTCCACTCAAACTACACCAGCTGTTTTCACCCTCGAGAGAGGTAGAGAGATCTATCGTTTTCTTTCTGCCAGCAACATGATGAACTGTTCATGCTATCCATATTTCAATTCCTGAGTCACATGATGCGTCGGTCTCGGTGGTCGAATAGACTGCATTCCACATACTCCTAAATGTATTTATACATCTAGATACACTTGGATCATTTGCAGTTGTCAATGGTAAAGAGTGTGAATAACAAGTTTACTGGTCACCTACTTCAAATACATGCACAGTTTTACCTGGCGTGAAGGCTGCGAACAAACGTGGGCTATCAGAATATTCCTGATATCATTATCGATAAAATAACATTCAGCAGTAACTTTCAGCAATGGGACCATGATCCTCTCATTTATGCGTTTGGTTGGTCATGTCCAGTAGAGGCCGTCTTACCTGCCAGGCTTTTGCCTGTTCAGTCACTGATCTTGTGTAGCTGGTCAAAACAGATTGCTTTCTAAGTTGACGCTTGTCGTCAAAGAAGTCTGGTTCAGGACTTGAAGTTCTGTAAAAGTATCCTTACCAACCGATCCAAGTCCCCGTCCTAAACCCTAAAAACGGAAACATTACAATTTTTTATTAATGTCACCTATGTGCCCTGTGAAAGTATGTGAGTGCAACACAGTGACCACAGGGAATACAAATTGCACTTTTCATGACCGTGCAGTCACATTTCTCCACGGTAGTTGGACATAAAATAACAGGACTAGGTAAAGCTTTATTACCATAATATTTGTTTCAATAATGAGATGAAATATAGGCGCTTGTTATAAAATATCGTACAGCCCACCCACCGTGGGGTACAGCTTTCCCCATTTTCTAACCCCATTTTGACAAGAGGCCAAATTTGTGGTGAGTGCGCACAAAATCCTCTCTGAAGTTCATTGTCTGGTTTCTCTAATGACGGCGCCCTGAATCCGACTGTGACCGCGCCAGGCTGACACTAACAAGGCTCATTTGCAGAGGGGCAGTGGTGACACAGTGATGACCATGACTGTTTACTTTCCTGTGTGTATATGAATGTAACTACTACAAATTACCTTTTATCACAAAAGGTTCCTTGTATCTGCTTTAAACAACAATATAGATCAGAACAGGGATACATTGTTTTCTTGCATGTATGTGAAATAACAGTCGAGGCCAAGCAACATCATTTTTGGCTAATGTGTGAGGGTGATTAAGCTTTCACTGCTCGTCTCATGTCAGTTTCTATTATTGTCTCGTGGGCTGTTTAGTTGTTTTGGGATGGAAATGGCTCACATCTCCACCTTCCTCAGTTCTCCCGCTTTGACTGAAGTTACTGGAGACACATGCTCGGAAACTGTTGTAAATGCTTGAGCACTGTAACATGTTTGTCCTTCTGGGTGGTGCCCCTAAATTGAAGCACCTGACCTTGAGTACAAAACGTATGACGGGAAACTTATTTGTGTGTCATTTTGTAACTGAACGGAGTTTTGACTTTCAGATTCTTGTTTGCTCATCAGCAACAAAAGGCGTGTAATAATGCTTTATGCCATAAATATGCATGAATTTGGCCTAAATAAGAAACTAAAAACCATAGTTCAACTATTACAGAAACTGTAAATCATTGAGACAGATGGGTTTACCTGTATTGATTATAAATCAGCACTACATAGCAGGCATTAACATCAAAGGCTTTTTGTGATTGGCAGGGTGGAGAAACTGCAAGCCAGTGTTTTTCCACTGCAGACATGAACGGACACCCAGTGAGTTCAGCTTGGCCAAACCTTGTATCCTGCTTCACTCTTAGTGGCTTTGAAATTCCCGAATAAATTATTTTTTGTTATAATCCAGGTGAAAGGTGATTTAAAAAGAACATGATTTTTGCTTCTCTACTCTGATATGAGTGATTATTGGCACAACAGCGCGTTTGTGGTGATTAAAGTCGGCTGTTTCTTTGCTTTGGAAATCTTTCTCCTCTGGTGAACTCAAATGCTGATGACCAACCAATATGTACTGGGGACAATATACGTTTAATTTAGTTTGCTCTTTGTATTTATTACTCAGATGAAGATGACTTCTATGATTTTCATCAAGGGCTGTACTGAATAGGTCAAAGCTTCAAATCATCCATAATTTTGGCAGTCAAATTCTAAATCAACATTCATTATTCATTTTGTTTAAACCTGGTATTTCTGCACAGTTGCAGATAAAGGTCAGGCAACACTATTATTTGTAGAAATAGATTGTTGTGGTTGCTGAGTAGGACTGTTTCCACTCGTGCGATTCAAAGATTTTCAATAACTCCAGAGCATTATAAGGACCAAAAGTCAACATTTATTGGAAAAGGTGGATGCTATCATTTCTATTCTGCTTCAACCCATATTTGTGGCTGTTTAGCCTTTCAAAAACATCTTCACTGCCGTCAAAGGGAGGCATTCACTGAGTTATACTCATTAAAGTTGATTTAATTAAAAACAAAAAACCTCAATAGAAGCTTTGAATGTAAAACAATGACATTCGGTACAACCCTAATTTTATTCTAGAGAATCTATTGCAACATATTCTGCCGCTGCAGAATGGAATATTTTTCTTCTTTTTTTCTGTAATCATCAATAAGACAGGTGTGTTTGCCAGAAATGAGCTCTTTGTTCGTTGTCTAGCTGTCGATCTCTTTCTCGTTTCGACACATCCTCCTCATCTCTTACCACTCTTATCGTTATACCGTTAACAATAATACATTTTCTTTGGCTTTGTCTTCTTGATATTAGATGTACCTGACGCATACTTAAAAACCCAAGTAATAAAAGCAGTAAAAACTAAATAAAAAATAAATTTCCTTTATCTGAGTTTCACATTTCTTTTCAGTATTTAATTACTCTTCAATCTTTTTCCTCCTCGTATTCCTTTTCGTAGTCTCTCTGTGACCTTACCTCCCAATATGTCATTTCCTCTTCCCACCTACTCCTTCCAACCCAAACCCCCACCCAGGAGCCCGGCCCTGCCAAGGTGACGGTGACCAGCAGCAGTGGAGGAAGCATCCCTTGCCTGCCCAGCAGCATCGCCAGTGCTGAGCGTGTCCCGATGAGCCGTGCCACTCTGTGGCAGGAGGAGAACCGCTGGAGCAGGGCCACCATCCCCTGCAGCCGCAGTGCCTCCTGTCTAAGCCAGCTGAGCCAGAGCCAACCAGACTCCAGTATCACTACTCAAGATGGTGAGGACTAAGAGGACAGCATGCAACTTCCTCAACATCCTGCATATGCTTCAGCTAGTGTTTCACTGTGATGAGGAAAACTAGGTTTAAAATAAATAAATACAGGTTTTGGAAAGTTTGTTATCACTGCTTACATAAAGGCATTTTTAAGTCGCACTTACTTTTAGTCAACTTCTTCACTCTGTCGCTTAAGAATAAGAATTCAGCCACTTGGCCAGCTGTTCGGTGAAACTTGTCAAGTCACTATTTTGTCGTACACAGATACAGGTATGTAATGTATGTTCACATATTTAGCACTATATGCACACTGTTTTGGGAGTTTCATACGGGTTGCACTCTGTTCTTGCTTCAGATGGCGGCACCATGAGCACCGGACGCAAGGTACGAGTGGAGAGTGGTTACTTTTCCCTGGAGAAGACCAAGTCGGAGCCTTCGCCACAGTCTCAGCCGCCCCAGCCACCCCAGCATCTGCCCTTGTCCTCTTCAGCATCATCCTCCTCTTTAGGAGCTCTCAGTCCCAGGTACAACTCTGAGTCCGAATCCCAAACTTCCCCTTATCAACCCTCCCAAGATCCTCTCCCTTCTCCAGGTGCACTCGTTTCCCCCAGCTACTCCACCATCAGCTCCTCCCAGAGCTCGCTGGATTCCGAACCCAGCGTGACTACACCCACCTGGGAGGGACGCAGTGGTGGAGGAGGAAGCATTTGTAGTGTCAGTGGGGGAGGAGGCCGAGTGGGCCGGCCTGGCAGGGAGTACGCTGCGCTGTCTGATGTGCCACGGGCTCGCAGACTGAGTCACCGCGAAGCCTTCCGCTCAGAAAAAAAGCGCCAAGAGCTGAGGGCACGGACCCGGAGTCCTGGCAGAGAGGAGGTGGCTCGGCTGTTTGGCCAGGAGCGCAGGTAAGAGCTTATGTATATGTGGCATGCTTGGCAGACTGCAAACAAAGATTCTACAGAGACATTTGAAGTCATGCAGACTCACTTGTGATTATACTGGCAGCCAAACATGATTAATAATCATCAATGCACCACTGGTTGTAAGCCCTTGACATAGCCTTAAAACATATAGATAGCATGCCAAGTAATCTATGTGAAGCTCATGCATTGCTTAAAGCATCAGCACTATCAGTTTCTTTTAGCACCACCCTGTGGCTGCTGTCCTTGAGACATTCCTGTATCTTGAGCACTGCTGCCTCCCCTAGCTTTACCAGTGGTTTGCCGTTAATGATTTGGGGATTGAAATGCACGTTTTACTTTCTTTTCTACTGATCTCTACCTTTTGCTCTTGCTACTTTGCTAGTTTGTTTTGTCGTTTCAATCTTTTCCAGGGGCTACTGAACAGGGCTTCTCAGAGCTAAACGCTCAACCAACCCTTCCGCCCCTCCTCTCTCAATGCTGTTCCCTGCTGGTCACCGCTGATTCCTGCTTTCTATCATTTCATCTCTGCCCTGCCTGGGAGAACACACACTCACTGTTTCATAAATACTTGATTTACTGTATATAATGTGCATTCTCAAACGTACTGGTGGTTGGTAATGATGGTGGGTTTACATACTGTTTGATCTTTCTTTCTTGTGCACACATACACACACACACACACACACACACACACACATAAAGTAACAAGTGCAGAGCCTTAAGGTAACGCTGTGTTGCCGTTGCTGCTCCTTAAATTTGTCTAACCAACCATCCTAATCATTTTCCTTTTCTTCCAAAGTTTAATCTCATTATATAATGCCTTTTTATTCTTTGATGTATCTCTGGATTGGTCTCTTTGGGGATATTACCTCTACCTTTCACATTGTTGTCTATGAAAGTCTCTTTGAGTCTAGAATGATGTCCAAACTTCCTATGTATTTTTTTAAGTGTTTTGCACTAATGGCTGCAGTGCATTTTGCACACAATACATTGAAACTACTTGTATCCATTATGGACATTGATTTTGGCTCAAATTTGCTTTCATAACATGCTTCGGTCTTGTTTATATGCTGATTCTGCCACAATGTGAGGATTATGTGCTGCATTTTTAAGAGGTTTTTTTTTGGGGTTTTTTTGTGCTGCAAAATGCCTTTTTTTTTTTTTTAAAGAATGATTAAGATATTTAACTGATTGTCAGAAAATACGTTTTTGTCAAGTGAAATACTGTATGTACTGTGAATCGAGCGCTTATCTGAAAAGGATGGTCCCTTTGTGTCTGTCAGGCGTTCTCAAATCATTGGCAGATTCGAGGAGGGTCATCCTGTAGACGTAAGCAGCTCCAATGAGCCCTCCGCTAACGCCACGTTAATCCAGAGACAAGGACGCAGCGAGAGGCGCTATCTGGCTAGCAACCATGTATGTTATCCTCTTTCTTAATCCTGAACAAATACATCTAAAAAGGTGTGAACTACCCAAACAATCCACTGAAGGGCAAATGTACTATGTAACGTTGATAAGGGATTACTTCTAATTTCTAATACTAATTATATTTATAGGAGATGTCACTGGATGCAGGAAAGGATCGCTCAGTCCCTGATGTGTCCAGCTCCACTTGTGCTAATTTAAGAAGAGCCAAGTCACTGGACCGCAGAGTCACCGAGTCCTCGATGACTGTGAGTACAGACGGTATTTCCAAAGTATATTGTTGCCAAATGGACTTTCTTGTAATGTGCACTGCTCAGGGGGAATGGCATTATTTACTGGTCAGTGTACATAATTTAACTGTCACATGCACCCAACCACATGCTGCTGCATATACAATATTAAATTAGCATTAGTTTTCTTCAGTTTCCACAAGTGAGATTAAAGTAGCCCTCAAGTTGCACTGGACGTCTGACTCCTACCAGTCTGACAAACTGCCACTGATCCACGGTCTGTTCAGTAATGCAGGGGTGATCCAGTCAATGTGTGGTTCGTCTCTCTGGGCTGGTTGCAGCTGCCGGAACCCCCGCCCACTCAGACGCACACATTTATGTGCACACCACTGCCGCCACTGATGATTATAAATAGCAAGCACAGAAGCAGCCGCAGTTGTGTAATATGTCCATGGGACAGACGGAAAGAAACAGATTGTCAACATATGAAGTGAAGGCAGTTAACCATCAGAATGACTCTTTGCCATGCGGTGACACCACACTTGATGAAGCTCAACAGAAATAAGGTATTGTTGAGTGAGCAGAAGCCAGGTTTTGGATTAATGATTGACTCTGGAGTCTATAAACAGACTTGAGCTTGGTTTCAATGTGCAGCAGTTTGTGTTTCACAGGGAGTCCAGCTCCCGCCAGTCCGTCTGTTTAGCTGGAGCCGAATATCTTCACTTGTACTTATTAGGCTGAGGTAGGGACTTAAATGTAAACAAATGCACATAAATGCAGCAGTGCTAAGGGGTGATGTCAATTTTATATTCTGACTACATCACATCAACGCTCACATAATGACAACTTCTAATATAGTGACGGATCAGCACAAAATGTTTCAACAAAATATCATTTCATTAGTTTTGTTTATATTTGTACTTTGTTCTATTTGTGTGGTTGATGTTTAATCGGAAGTCACTTCTAAGTGGTGGCTGAATTTCCTTTTTTATTGATTTTTAATGAGTTAATCTAGTTGCGTTTATATAATATCACATCACTCTAATCTGTCTTACTTGCAGCCAGATCTGTTGAACTTCAAAAAAGGATGGATGACAAAGCTGTATGAAGATGGAATGGTAATTAGCTTTCATTAGTGGGATTACATGGCTTCTACTGAATACAATTATATTGTACTCATTGAGGCTCCGGTGAAATCAAATGAATGTTCTTTTTTCCCTCTCAGTGGAAGAAACACTGGTTTGTCCTGACAGATCAGAGTTTGAGGTACTACAAGGACTCGATAGCCGAGGAGGTAAACATCGTCTTCTAGAGACTGTGTGGTTTTGACTGTAAATTTGAATGAATAGATAATTAATTAAAGGACTTTTTTGTTATATCGTTTCATTTTTAGGCTTTAGAACTGGACGGTGAGGTTGACCTCTCCACATGTTATGATGTCCAAGAGTTCCCTGTCCAGAGGAATTACGGCTTCCAAATCCTGGTGAGCATTGATTTGTCATGGCATTGATTGTCCTGTGTCGTTAATCACCAGTAGAGAAGAAACTCATTGTCAACACGCTCGAGCTCTGCCGTCTGCTGACGGTCTATAAACAGCCTTCGACAACATGTGGTGCAACTCCAGGTATCAGGTTTTGTCTTTCTGAAAGGATTCTTTGTCCGTAATGACGGATGTCTCTTGACTTGTCATCTCTCTGCGAGAGGCTGACATCATGGTGGTCTAAATCTGCTACAGCCGTCGGCAGCCCTGCTTGTCTCTCTAAACCATTTGTCCTTCATCCTGCACAATATGTTTACCTAACCTCTTGCATTCAAAAACCCCATCCGTGTCCACATTTGCTCAATAACACTTATGTTTAAAAAAACAGTTATGTTACAGTAATTTAACTTACTAATTGCAGAAGAGTTGAGCAGTTGGATGCTGCAGTGAATTCTATGACAAAATGCTTTCGCTGTATAATCCTTTGGCCATTAAACATTTTTAGCACTTGTTGCTGGCAAAATACTTACCAGACACTTATAGCTGCTATGCAGTTCAATTGTTATCCATTTGATGTCAGTGTGGGTTTGGTTTCTGCTACATATAGATTTAAACTCACCATAATAATCTCATATGAAGAGACTAATAGCAACAAGGTCTGTATTTTTCTTTACATTAGCTTGAAGCAGCTTAGCTATTTTCTCCAGAGGAAGTCAGAAATAGAGACGTCAAAGGGATCGTTGTCTCTTTGGCTGAGAACAACATGGTATTGGTGTCGAGAAATGAATAACTCCAGTATTAATGTCTGCTCCACGGTCAGACTGGAAGGGGGCTGTGTCATGCAGTCAGAGCAGTGCAATAGAGTACAGGGTTGCTTCAACCCCATTACTGTGTCAACAGAAGCTTTAATGACAAACTGTGTTCTTGTAGAAAACATTTAACTTCCAAGTATTTAAGGTTTAAGTTTAATGTATTGCACACACAATAAAGCTGTGTTACTATGGAGTTATACTGCTCAGAACAGTTTACTAAAAAATGTCATATTTTGCAATCTAGGGCATTAAGAAGAAAGGTCTCAACTAACTACATGTAACTTTGTGTAATTGTAAACAGCTTAAACTAATTTTAAAGTAAGAGGCTATTAACATTAAATGGTTATTGCATATACATGATTAAAATCTGTTTGATGTAATGGATTAGTAGCAGTTGTGTGTAAAGCAGCAAATTCACACCCATCCTAAACTACACACAAATTTACTACATTTGTGATGACGTAACAGCCCCGCAGGGTCTCGTGCGCTGGGTCTTCAGGGCAACAACACATTGTTTTCCACATTGTGGCAAAAGGAAGGGAAGTGGCAATCATAGATGACAAAATATAGCATCTAGATTTGAATACACAGTCAGATTGAATGTATTGCACATAAAACGCACACATCCTCTAACTTGTTTAACAGCGAAACAGAGTGAGGCCAAGAATGTTTCTCTTTATTTCACGGTTTCTATTATTGTTCTGCTGATAAAACTGCATTGTGAGAAGTGTGTTCTTTCAAAATGTATTCCTGTTGGAGTTGGAAGTATTTTGCATTAAAGCTACTTTTACACGTACAATTAATAAAGAAGATACTGAAGGGCATCTTATGCGGTGAATATAAATCTTCTACACACCTCTGGTTACAGTCAGTGAAAGAAGAGCAACAAATGAGTCTTGCATTGTCTTGGTAACTCCACTGGTGCACATCTTAATACTACGTTAGGCTTGTACAAAAACAAGTGTCGAAAAATATATTTTAGTCTCATCCCTGTCAGTCTTTTAAATGAAATGTCTGTTTTCAGTGTAAAGAGGGAGCGTGCACCCTGTCGGCCATGACCTCTGGAATCCGTCGCAACTGGATTCAGGCAATCATGAAGAATGTGCGACCCACTATTGCTCCAGATGTCACCCGGTAATACCCAAAGAGGATTAACACTTTAACCACTGGCAGATTTGACCGCTGCTTTTCTCCCATATTTCATTTTAATTCCTCTCTCCTCCTCACCCTCTCTTTCCTTCTTTCTCTTCCTCCCTCAACCGGTATTTTCAACCTGCTTCCAGGAAAAACATCTCTCTGAAACTGTCCGTTCTGAAGCCCAGGTTGGAGTGCTTGTGTGTTGAATATCTCCCCCCCTCCTCGAACAGTGATGTAATTGCTCAGCGATGTCAGCCCTAGCGTGTTTGTGGTCCCGCCCTATGTCATGTGATTGTTGAGTAATGTCTCCCCGTCAGTTGTGCTACTGTAGAGACACACGCTGCAATCACATCAACATACTAGAATAGCCCGCCAGCCATCTGTTGATCAACAAGCAGAGAGGGTTTTAATGATTAATCATCATGTGGTTGTCCACTAACTTTTGGAAGTGATCACAGAACAAATCACAACTGCAGCACAGGCAGAACATGTCTTGAGTGGATGGAGAGAAGAGCTGAGATAACTAACTGTTCCAAAAAAAAACAGTTCACTTGAGGATTTTTTAAAACCACCTAAAGATTTATTTTTTGTGGAGTGTTGCCTTTCAGATGGGTCATCACATCTGATACTGTATACACGCACTGACCCGCATTTACTGAGTCACACACTCTGCCAGTTTGTCTCTTAGGTACCTCTCTCCAAGAAGAGACATGTGATATTTTTGGTATTTCTGCAAAGCGCTTCACAGACGCCCCTTTCTCATTCCTGAGCTCTGTTCCTTCTCATTTTCCCCTTACTCATACCTCCTGACACCTCCACACACAACGTGGTAAAAATGGATTATTCCGTCAGGTCTCTTTTTTTGTAATGCTCTGCCCCTCAACACTACTTGGTGCCAATCAAACGCATTCTTCACATTAAGCTACTAGTTTATACAAATAGCATTAACATAGCAACTAAAGGAAAGCGTCTGCCATCAGGCTTACCTCAGATCAAGAAGATTAACTCCAAAGTTGCTTTCAGCCTAATGCAGTGTTCCATATAAGCATTTTGATGTTGATGCTCTGACTTGGACTCATTTCACTGATTATCATGCTTCCAATGCTCTGCCACAAATATACGCATCGTTGTTTGTCCAGCAACGCTTTATGTAATACTAATGTAGCTTGATTTCAATGCATCTTCAGTTCTGTTAAAATCATCTAACACATATCCTCTTTCTTTTTTGTGTGTTTTTGTTCATTCAGATCTGACGAGAAGACAAAAGCCCACGTGATGTTGGAGCCGTGTACACAGGCCACCTCTGAGCCAAGCCCCAGTCCTGAGGCCCCCAAGTCTGATGTCCACCGACAGCCAGCGGGCAACAATGCCTCTGCCCCTCTGACTGAGCCCCGAAAAAGCCGAGTTCGTGAGCGCAGACGAGAGGGTCGCTCCAAGACTTTCGACTGGTCTGAGTTCAAAATAGAACGGAGAGAAAAGCCTGTGAAGGACCGAGCGGACACTGTCGACCTCAGCTCATCCTTCTCAACGACGTCCTCATATTGCTCTCCTTCCTCTTCCCCTTCCTCATTAGCATCCTCTCCTAGCTCTACCTCCTCCCTCCAAACCTCTTCTGTTTCAGGTGTTCACCCACCTTCTATGACAGTAGAAGCAGAAAAAGAGAGTGTAAGGAGGGGCGTCCCTCAGCATAGTACAACCAGTGCAACCCACATGCCAAATAGTGTTACTGTTACCATGACCTCCACGCTAAACACTACACCACCGGTACAGCCATCGATACCTGAATGCCAAGAGCAAGGAAAGATGGAAGTAGACCATCCTGCTAGTGAAGATAAGGACAACAGAACCTCAGGTGTCCGAGAAGAGATTGAGCAGCGATGGCATCAGGTGGAGACGACACCGCTAAGAGACGAGAAGCAAGTGCCGATCAACACAGCTTCAGGAAACTCTGACAGATTGCCTGCACATGAGCTTGCTGCACTGCTCGACAAAGAGGTGAGTTTTCTTAGTGCGGCGTGATACGTGTTTATGATCATCGTCTGCCATTCGTTCATTATCTCTTCTGTCTTTCTTTGTTCAGTTGGGACAGAAGCAGCAGGAGCTGGACATACTACAGAAGCAAAACAATGTTTTAAAAGAGCAGTTGGAAGATGCTCTAGGGAAGGAACAAAGTGCCAGAGATGGCTATATACTGCAGGTACTACACTCACCATCCATCGTGCAGGATTAGTATGGGTTTTAATATTGACGATATGTACAAATAGCATTCCGATTTTCACAAATGTTTTACAAGATAGTAAACGTATATTGTTTAAACGTACAGTAAATGTTATTAACTGTACATGTGTAGATAGTATTTTTGTTATACAGTCTACTTGCTCATGATAGATCAGATTTATGTCTCCTACTGTAACTTGTATCACATTTTACTAACGGGTGTGGGTGCTTATTCTCTGATCCGCATGGTTGTGGTGTTCTTAGCATGAGTTTTCACTAACTGTTTTTACGGAGTTTCACATCTCCTGGGAAAATAATTGATTTGGTCTGATTTTCTTGAGGTAAGAACCTTGATTAAGAAACCTTGTGCTGTGCTTTGTCTGTGTGCCCTTTCCAAGCTTGATTTCGGCATGCTTTTTGGTGTTTCAGAATTGCATACTCTAACTAATTAAATGCTTTTTTACATTGTGCAGTTTTAAGTTATACCGGGAACTTATCACAGAGATAGAATGTCATTTTTGTGTCACATCATATGATAGTTTCTTTTTTTTATCACTATATTATTGACCCACCAAAGTTATTTTTCTTTTTTTCTTTCAAAGTCACCTCTGAAAAAGCACAGTGGAAGCTCTTTAAAAAAAAAAGAGAGATTGATTTCAAGAAAGGAGAAAATGTATTTTCCCGGTTACCCCCGAGATGTGGTTCTCCGTATATGGTAGGGGAAGTAAGGTGATGTCATTAATGAAACTGTCTCATCAATCTTTTTCAAGAATGCAACACCCCCTTCCTCTTCACCGCACAGAGTGCCGTGGCATTGCCTACACAAGCTTAGTCAAGATTTGCAGGGCGAGTTGGAGACCCAAAAGCACAAGCAGGACCTTGCTCAGCAGCAGATTCGGACACTAAAGAGAAGCTACACAGAAGCCCAGGATGCTGTAGACCACCATGAGGCTGGTGTTCAGGCTCTGCAGGCGAAACTAGCATCTGCAATGGCAGAAATCCTGGCCAGTGAACAGGCTGTGGCCAGAATGCGCAATGAGCTCAAGCTGGAGCAGGGGCGCTCAAGGGAACAAGAAGAGGAATATGGCCGTGGTGAGGCCACCCTCCGAGCCCAGCTAAAGGACAGTGAAGATAGACTCCGTGATATAGAGGCCAGCCTCTTGGAGAGAAACCAGGCCCTCAGGCACCTGGAGCGCCAGCAGGCCCTGCAACGGGACCACATGAGAGAGATACAGAGGCTGCAGGAGAGGCTGCAAGAGGTGACTGCTCGGCTAAGTGCAACTGAAGAGGGTCAGGCACTGAAAGAGGAGCGCCTGAGGAGGGAGCAGCATAGCATGCAAGAGAGTCACGAGAGTGAAAGGCAGAATCTGTATAGAAGATTAGCCGAGGCTGAAACGGCACAGAAAGAGATGGAGAACCGACTGTTGGAGGCTGAGCAGCAGGTGGAGGCCCTGTTAAGAGGGAGGCAGGCCTCTGGAGGAAAGGAATGCAGGGAGGAAATGCTGAAAGTGCAAGTGGAGCTGGCCCAGAAGACCGACATGGTAGAGTCACTGAGGGAGAGTATGCGTAGGCTAGAAGAAGAGAAAGGCCATCTCACTTGCCGCTGCCAGGAGCTTCTTAACCAGATTGGAGAAGCAGACCGTGAGGTGAATAAGCTCCGCAATCGTCTGGAAACGGAAGAGGCTGATTACTACACCCTGGAGCACTCGTATGAGAGGGCTACCCAAGAGTTTCAGAAAATAAGCCAGTTCCTCAGAGAAAAAGAGGAGGAGATCCGGCAGACTAAGGAGATGTACGAGAGGCTAGTGGAACGTAAGGAAGAGGACTTGAAAGAGGCCCTTGTTAAAATGGCTGCACTTGGCAACAGCTTGGAGGAAACGGAACAGAAGTTGCAAGCGAAGGAGGAGCTTCTTTGTCAAATGAATCAAAGTATCTTAGATAAGGTTGAGCCCTGTAGTGCTGAAAAAGATCTGAAAGCCAAGCTTGTGGTTGCAAAGGACCGCATAGCAGAGCTAGAGCAGCATCTCAATGCCCTGCAGCTGGGCTATGCTGACCTACATGTAGAAAGGCAGCAAATCCCAGAACAGAGCAAGAAGTCGAGGCTTAAAACATCGGCCTCCTTATCAGCAAACCAAGAACTCTTACTCTCCTTTGACAATACAGCAAAGACGGATAACTTCCCAGATGATAAGGAGTCGCAAGCTAAGAGACCAAGGATACGTTTTTCCGGTATTCAGTGCCAAAAATACATAAATCTAGAGGGCCTAGACACGAGTCACTTGAGCGGTACCTTTGCAGACACGAGACAAAAAGTTAACCAGGATGTAAATGAAGACATCCATTTAAGTGAGGAAAAAATGTCCTCTGATATCATCTTATCTCACAGTAGTGACCCAGAGAAGTTCATCTCTATCATACATTCCCTAGAGACTAAGCTGCTAGCCACGGAGGATAAACTAAGAAACCTCACACAGAATCTAGAAGACCAGCAACCATCCATCCAAGCAGAGGACATTGCAAAGACCGATCTAAAGACGACCGAAACAAAGCCTAACCCTGATGAGGAGTTATGTTGTGAAAGTGGGATACAGAGTAGTGCTGCCAATAAGCATTATGCCAAGGCACTGGCGTGTGTGGAAAATAGTCAAGAGAAAGTCAGGGCTATTCTCAGAGGCTCTCATGATACCACTGATTCACAGCTGCACTCATTGTCAGAGATAGAGAACGATTTGTTCAATGCATCACTGTACATCCGACAAGGACATAAGAATTTGGAAGAGCAGTCTCCAGTTGTCCATCAAAATCAAACCCCAGAAGTTCTAGATAAAGAAGCTTTGCACCTCTTCGCCAAAACGTTGTCGTTTGAGGCAGTCGTTTTGAACAAGATGGCTTTGTTAATACAGACTTCAAAGTCTGACATCTTACAATCTCTTGCTGAGATATGGAAAGAGACGGAGAACATTAAAACGGGTGACAAAGATTGCTTGGCTATAGTTTATGCTGATGTCTTGACCAGGAAGTTGATGTTGGAGAGTTCATTCTTTAAAGAATTGGAAAAAGCTAAGACCGATGATGCTAAATCCAAAGACGGCAGTGTTTCAGCTGATGCCGATGTTGACGCTACAGTTATCTTTAACACCTTCATTAAAGCAGAGCTAGCCTACTCTATTCAGAACCTTAAACTTTGCTACGAAGAGAAATTCAAAATACTGAAAAGGGAGTTGACGCATGCCCATGATAACCTGCATCAAAGGGAAATGGCTCTGAAAACAATCATTGAAGCTTCCAAAAGGCCTGATTTGAAAAATGTCATAAAGGAAGTCAAAAAGGACTTTGGGTTTAGTAAACCGAAATTAGCAGACATTCGCCCCCCTGAACTTGCTCCCTACATGGAGCAGATTGAAATGGAGGAGGCTAGAGGCTTGGCTGAGGAAATTGTAGACAGACACCTGGCTGAAGAAATGCCCTCTTGTGGTGTCGACTCAGTTGAATCACTGCAAAATGCACATGACTACCTGGCTAATGAGCTTCAAAGACAAGCAGCAATCCTCCATAATTATGCTCAAGAGATAGAAAGTGGTGAAAACCACCCTGGACTGGCTAAAATGATCCATGCTCTTCTGGGCCACCAAACTTCACATCATTTCACAAGTACCTCTCTCTGTATGCGCGAAGCCCTAATCCAGGCTCAAGTGGCATATGTGGCGTGCAGGCTACGGGCCCTGCATGAACAAGACTTGGGCTGGTGTAAACAGACCGGTCAGAACATGGACGCTCTCGTCCAGCAGCATGCCCGCAATGTCGGTGCAATCCAAGAGAAATACGAAGCATCCCTACAGGATGAGCGCCAGAACTTCACGCAAGCAGTGTCCACTGTCCAGAAGGAGAATCATACATTAAAGAGTGAGATCAGCAAACGTGTGAACCAGCTCTCCCAGCAGCAGAAGCAACTGGCTCTCCTGGAAGACCATTTTAAGAAGGAGACTGAAGAGCTGAAGCAAAGGCACATGCAAGAGCTAAGCCAAGCAGAGAGAGGCCGCGCCTCAACCGAGCTGGCCGTCATGGAGACGACAGCCGACAGTCAACGAAAGCTAGAAGTTCTGCTCGTGGACATGGGCACCATGGAGGAGCGGCACGAGGGTCATGTGAGGAAACTGGAGGAGCAATTTGAACAGAGGATCTGTGAGCTCGAGCATATCCACAAACGGGAGATTAAAAAGTTAAATTCCCAGTATATGGAAAACATTCAATGTATCCAAAGGCACCAAGAGGACAAAAAGGATCCTCGGGTTTCCCACTCGTTTCCTTGTGATGAGGCCGCGACACCAATGGAAGAGGAGGAGCAGGGGAAGAGGGAGGATGCACAGACAGTTTCAGAGTTGGACTCCATGGTGGTTCTGAAGGACCGTGTCCAGGAGCTGGAGGCTCAGATGAGCACCATGAGGGACGAGCTGGAGAACAAGCACCTAGAAGGAGACGTGGCCAGCCTGAGAGAGAAATACCAGAGAGACTTTGAAAGTCTTAAGGTTTTTGCTCTTTTATTTTACTTTAGTGACTTTTTAAAAATAAGTGAGAGTACTAGATAAATAGTAAGATAGCTTAACAACAAGCTGCTTTTGTTTAACAATCTGCCGATGGACACAGAGTGTTTGGAGTTGGGAAATGGTGTGATTTGTATTATTTGTAACCCTAACTCATAAAACTTGCAATCGAGATTACATCAGTTGGCTTGCATCCCTAGAGCCATACTAGCACCGTGGTTGTAGGGATGGGAAGGTCTGTCATTCATCCACAACTTTCTATTTGTTTGTTATATTTATGACAATAAACATTCATTATCTTGTGAAATATATCCACATCTACGAGATGGATTGGCACAATATTTGGCATAGACAATCGTGGCTCCCAGGCGGTGCTTCCTGTGAATGCTGATGCCCTGAATTATCTTCCAGTCTTATCAACTATTGGATGGATCGCTGGGACATTTGGTGCAGACGTTCATGTCCCCCCCCCCCCAAAGTAAATTGAGTGTAAAATGCCTCGCTTGCCAACAAGATATCGATATTATAGTATTGTATTAACAAACATACAATTTCCCACCTTCAATGATGGAAGGAAATTCAGTCTATTAATGACAATTATGCAGCTTTCATTCTAACATAGCTGGCCTTCAAATCCTAACAAGCTTGCATGGCTTCTATCACTAATTTTGCATGACACACCATGTAGTCTAGTGAACAATTAATAGATATTGCACTGAAATCCATGGTCACTAATTAAGATTATAGGTTGTAAATTCAAAACACATTTTGTGATAACGAATTGTTGATCCTCTCCTCCACTAGGCCACGTGTGAACGTGGCTTTACAGCAATGGAAGACACCCACCAGAAGGTAGTACATGACCTCCAGAGGCAGCATCAGAGGGAGATTTCCAAACTTATGGAAGAGCGAGAGAGACTATTGGCTGAGGAGACGGCTGCCACAATTGCTGGTAAAGACGACTGTATTACCACCAATTATTTCTGTACTTGAAAACACGACCAACATCCAGTAATCGAATGTGTGTGATCTATCTTAAATGTAGCTATCGAAGCGATGAAGAATGCACACAAGGAGGAACTGGAGAAGACCCATCGGTCCCAACTGAGTGGATTGAACTCTGACATTGATGAACTTCGCTTACAATACGAGTATGTTTTATACTTGGAAATGAGAAGTAAAAGAGCTGACTTTTTCATTTGACTTTTCCTTTGATTTAAAAAAAGTCAAACCCTGAAAACCATATTCATTTTTTTTCCGATGAGTCCTCAGGTTGAGAAAAATTGTGTCACTTTATAGTATGGGTTAGGGGGATGGCAAGAGACATTTTGATTAACTGGAGCAACTTTTTAAAAGGCTTTTGGGAAAGTCATAATAACAAGTGAAAGATCCACTCATGTCTAGGCTGGTTTGGTAAACATCAGATGACAATTGGTGATATTGTGATGATCTGACTGTCCAGGGAGGAGCTGCAGTCCATCCAGAGAGAACTTGAGGTGCTGTCAGAGCAGTATTCTCAGAAATATCTGGAGAACGCTCACCTGGCCCAGGCACTGGAGGCCGAGCGGCAGGCCCTCAGGCAGTGTCAGAGAGAGAACCAGGAGCTGAACGCTCACAACCAGGTTTGAATGCCCATCTATGCACAAGTACATACAAACATAATTATGTTAACGGGTTAAAACACACGTTTATTCTGTCCAACAGGAGTTAAATAACCGACTGACCACAGAGATCACTCGGATGCGCTCCTGTTTCAGTGGTGAAACAGCGCTGTCACCACTTACCCAGGGCAAAGATGTGTATGAACTGGAGGTATGTGTAAACACGCACGCACAAACGCACACGATTTGATCTTAAATCGTATGATTGTTTCTTGTAGGTGTTGCTTCGAATTAAGGAGTCAGAGATCCAGTATCTTAAACAGGAAATCCACTCTTTGAAAGATGAACTGCAGTCTGCGTTAAGGGTAAGCAATTTATTGAAAAGTGTGTTCCTGTATTTCATCAGGTCTTATAACAGCATTTGAAAAACTGAGAGGCATTGTCATTGGTTTGATTTCAACAGGACAAGAAATATGCCACCGAAAAATATAAAGACATCTATACAGAGCTCAGCATTGTGAAAGCGAAGGCTGACTGCGACATCGGCAAACTGAAGGAGAAGCTGCTCATTGCCACAGAAGCTTTAGGCGAGAGGACTGTTGATGGAACGGTCACATCTGGATACGGTAAATAGGAAATGTCCATTTAATCAGTACCACTGAATTAACCCCAAAGTTTTGTAAGTATGGAAGCCAGTCGTGAGTAATGACAACCTGTTTTGTCACTGTTGTTGAGATCTGGAGAACGTAAACGCCTTTTTAAATTTGAAAATTAAAATTGGATGGACATACAGTTTATTGTTTATAATGTTCCTACATACAGTACCTCAAGTCTTTAGCGACCCAGCACTTATATAAGTCGCATATTTAAATCATATTGCTTGTAAAATTGACTACTACCAAACTAGTATGCTACTTTAGTTAATGATAATAGCATTCACTCATTGTGTTTTTAGATATCATGAAATCAAAAAGTAATCCAGATTTCCTGAAAAAGGAACGATCAACAGGCTCCAAGCAATCAAGAGGATTAAGGTCAAAGGTGAGTTTCGAGTTGAACAAAATAGTTTTTCCTTCCCGAAATTACAGGCATTTTGTACTTTTGGAGAAGATTCCACGCACTCTCTAAAGCTACCGTTTCAGTTTGCTGTGTGACGTGATGTTGACGCTTTTGTCGCGCAGACGTTATCGCTGTTAATTGTTGCAACTCAGCCGCCACACACTGTAGAAATGTGGTCCACAGTTGGTAGCGACGTTTTTTCCTGAAAGTCTCTTGTCCTGTAAGTTTGTCATCTGTGTGTTTTGTCCGTCAGTCTATCACTGAACAGGTCTCATGGGATAGCTGACACCCCCATTGTGGGGTGATTTCCCCCCCCAACCCCTGCCCTGAGATGTGCTGTAGGTATAGCATGATGTAGAGCAAAGCATGCCCTTAACACCCTCGCATGATCTCCACCCCCCCCTGCACCACCAAAGCTGATTGTAGTAGCTACCTCTTCGTTTAATGTCACAGACGTGAGCATTAGCAGTTCTTAGGCGCTTTGTCCAAAAGCCTTTCTGGCTTAACACTTAAGGAAAATACACTTATTTGTATTCTTTCCGTGTGTTAGATAAAGGAAACGATACCGCTCTTTCCCCTGTACGGTAAATATGAAGCTACAGTCAGCAGCAGGTTAGCTGTAGCTGAATACTGGAAACAAGGGAGACGGCTGTAGCCAGGCTAGTAAAATACAAAATCTGCCTACCTCCCCCTTGTTAAAATCACAAATTCCACGTTATCTCATTTGTTTGATTGATACAAAAAAAGTGTGAAAACAAAAGTGTTCATTTGAGAGGTGCAGGTAGGTGGTTTTTGTTTCATTTGGACCAAGCCATGCTAGCTGTTGTTTTAAAAATCCAACATCTAATGAAAGTGTTTCAGCTTACTCATAGTAAGCATTTAGTATTTAACAATGTCATTCACACATTTTCTGTGAGCTGACGGGCAGAACTAAGTTCTTTGGGTCGTGAATTGGTGTTGCTCATCAGTGGACTAATGAACTATCTCAGGTCATTTTATAGAGGAATGAGAGCGCTCTTTTTATTTTTTTTTATGGAACATATCTCATATGTTCCAACATTGTTTTGCTCTGTTAATGTAAAAAGCCTTTCTGTCATTGTCATCGTTTGTCTGTTTGTGAGTTTTGAATTTATTTGTGTATTGTGCGCACCAGTACCTACCGTTATGTGGCATGACCATATTCCATCTTAACACACTTTTCTCTGTAGATCTCACATTGAGATTAAAGTATGTCCTCCAGAGCAGAAAAAAAAATTCCCATTTTGTGACGTCTGTGCTTTTCTTGTGTGTTTTTCTAACATTCTTCTCTGCCCACATTCACCCTTATCATTAATGAACAATAAATTACTTTCTCCTTTTCCTTTAACAGAGCCTGAAAGAGGGACTAACTGTTCAGGAGCGTATGAAGCTTTTTGAGGCAAAAGATTCCAAAAAGATTTGAATATCAGGAATCTGATGCGTTTCTTTTTCTCTTTCCTGGCCTTGGGGTTTTTTGGTCAACAGCTGACGACTATTATTGGAAATGGAAATACATTTATCAAGGTCAGTTTTAAACCTGGACCTGCTGCTTCCATGCCTCTGACAAGTTGACATAGTTTTGTTTTTTTTATTAATTTTTTTTAAGTTTTATTGAATCAATCCTGTATTAGGTTTCTTTAAAGAAAAATCATATAATCTGTCCAAATAGGGAGATGTGTCAAATAAGCTGCGAGAGGGATACATGACAGCATTTTTACTGATCCTCCAAAATGCCAAAATAGACAGCAATACACAGTACGAATAATATATATTTCCCTATACGAATTAAGTATCTGCTGTATTTTATTATTGTTACAGTTTCTATATCTAATAATTTGTATGTGTTTAATGTTGCACCAGTTCTGTTGTACATAACTACTGGATATATGTAATAGTATGGTTTGCTATTGATTGTTGGGGCATCTGCTGTACTATAACTATGGTTTGATTGATAGTGGAAAACAATGTGATGCTTAACTTGCTTTTGTATGAGAGTTTTATAAAATGGAGTGTCGTGTGTGTGTGTGTGTGTGTGTGTGTGTGTGTGTGTGTGTGTGTGTG